TCAACTGGGTCAACTCAATTAGCCGCCAGCTAACTACAAAAGCAGCAGTGAAATCGTGAGCTGCGCGTGAAATGTCTCCAGTTTACGTCCCGGAAGATGAATAAGAGATTTTTTTAAACAACAGACAAGACTGCAGGTCGTTCAGGGAAATGGATAAAGTGCAGCACACTGGAGAAAGTGGCGCATGAAAAGCAGCTCCCACTTTTTTCCCTCTACCAGCACAACAGTGTCGTTAGCTGGCGGCTAAAGGCTCCGTGTCCAGTGGAGGCCGCGGCGAATAAACACAGACGTGCGGGTAGATTTCCCCTCCTGCCCCGCACCGAACCGCGTGCGGATGTTTCCGCTGCAGACTCACTCACCCACAGTTCGCCTTTCAATGTGGAACTCCAACTATTATGTTATTTCTCCCAGCGAATTCTCCCTTGTTGTACTCATTAAAAGAGCCAAGATGGCGCCACTCGCCTTCCTCCCGCTCACCGCTGTCCTTTTAAAATCGGCAGGATGTTTACAGTCAAAAATGGCGGAGGAGGAGTCTGCTGACAGACAGCCCGCTGTGAGCGCCCGGCACAGATAGGGGGCGCTGTGGCACAGTGCGTACCTGACACCGAGAACAGGAAGGAGGGAGACCATGAAACCAGAATAAGTGAATTCAATTGATTATTATTATTATATTACTAATATTCTTATCATTATTATTATTATTATTATTATTATTATTAGTAGTAGTAGTAGTAGCAGTAGTAGTAAGTGACGAAATATTTACATTGACTATAAAATAATTAATTGGGAGATTTTGACAATGACAAATGACTATATTATAGTATATATATTATTATTACAATGATCATGATAACAATATTAATTTTATTATCATCACAATAATAATCATTATTATTATTGTTGTTATTGTTGTATACACTGATACAGTGACTAATCCTGGTCTTATTTGTGTGATTGTATGTATTATCTATTTTATTTGTATAGCACTTTGTTATAGTTTTTATTATTAATAATTTTATTATTATTATTATTATCAGTCGTAGAAGTAGTGGTATTAGTTGTTGTAGTAGTATAGGTCACAATATGCTCCTATTGGCTTTAAGATAATCTATTCTGAGACTTAAATTAGAATGTGACAGGCTTAGTCTCAATAATAAGCGATATTATATTAATGTTATTATTTATACAATACCCAGTCCTGATGTAACTCACATCCTGTATATTAAAAGAATGGAGCTTTAAAAATTGTCCCATTATTTTCCCTTTCATAGCTGTTGACATTAGCAGAAAAAGAAAGAAAAGATTCAATTGGCTGTGTTCCATTCAGGGTTCTCAGTTGCAGGTGCCCTATGTTATACTGGGGCACCTAAATGGAACAGAGCCATTACTAACATAATAAGGTGTGCTCTCTGCCATGAAAGTCAAAATGTCTGCTGTGATAAAGGCTCTGTAATGACTAATCACCTTGTTATTGTTCATATAACAGATGAAGGAATCAATCACTTAAGGTATATTTAGAGAAAATTATATTGGGACAAACTTAATCTGTAGCAAAGATGTTTACAGGAGAAATAAGCAACCCGCAGCCCAGAAAAACCAAATCAATGCTTTGAACTAAATCCTGTGTGTGTGCAGGGAACTGGAGCTACACACAGACTACAAAACCAATTTCCAAACAATATATTAGATAGTGAGATGAGGAGAAACATGCCTGACAGAGAGACTGACTCATCTACAATCAAATTGCAAAATTGGTATGCAGTAAAGCGGATTTGTCTCATGGGCCACAGCATCTGTTGCAGTGGAAGCTCTGCCAGCTGAGCATGTTTATGGTTTACCAGCAGCAGGGCTCCATGTCACTGTAGTGGGGTGGATGGTTGATAACTGAGGCACGTCATGTTTTTGTTATAGTTTTGATAAACGGCATTTAAAGTCTCACACAATGAACATTACACATTATGATGACATGATCGTCAACACTGGCAGTCTTAAAGGTACAGTGTATAGAATTTATTGACATCTAGTGTTGAAATTGCATGTTACAGCTGAACACCCCTCACCTCACCCTCTCCTTCCAAACATGAAGAAGAACCTTTGGTAGCCTTCAGTTGTCATAAAAACTCAAAGGTGTTTAGTTTGTCCAGTCTGGACTAATGTGAAAAAAGATGGCAGCCTCTGTAGAGAGGTGTAAATATAAAGTATTTGAATATAAAGGGCCTCTACTGGGTTGAAGAAACCAACAATTCATACTATTTAGATGAAATGAACTAGTGAAAACATCATGAGGATTATTCTTCATTAAATTTCTAACAATAGTTCCCTTTGACCTAAATCTTATACACTGGACCTTTAAGAGAAGAAGAAATTCCCTAAATGTATTTAACTGTGTGCATATATGGTCCAAAATCAATCAGATCCTTGCTTTCACACACATTTCATCATCGCACCATCAGTCTCATTTGGAGATTAACAAGATATTGATCTAGGCCAAATGAATAAACACGACTCTGCAATTGAAAGCTAACAGATACGAGGGAGGCAACAATGCATTTAAAATGGTGTCAAATTTAAAACTGGATGGAAATCTTCAGTGTGTTGGATCACTGATTGAAGGGAACATTAAATTAAATCCTTTTTGTGTAGACACCTACTATTTTGTGCAGCGCGCAGAGATACTGCTGTGTGACTTATCACAAAACAAAGCTGCAGAGCCACGTCTTGTGACACAGAAATTGGGCTTGATTCTTTTTAAATGAGATCATTTTAACCAGGATAGCTGATTGCTGCTTACTGTGATCATGTGTGACAGATGCATCCAAACAGCTTCAGAGGAACCAGCCTCTCTCTGCTGCTGCTTTCCCCACTTACAAGGTGTGAGTCACAAAGCCCGAACGTCTGATTATCTCCACATACCGAAACACAAGTATATTATTATCTTCACAGCTGTATGAAGTGAAACGTCTTGTTCTTTGTTTTCACTGAAGCATTCTTATACGCACACATGCAAACACCCGCAGGAGATGTGGACTAAATGTGGAGATAGATTTTTATCCAGGCAAATGCTGATTGAAGAATTAGTTTCTTTCAATCCAGAGGAATTAATTGTTTCTGGCTAATAGTGTCATAATGTGTCTAATCTGAATGAATTTAATTATATTGCCAATGGGAGCTCCCCTCCCCTCCCTGCACACTACTCTTCTGTAAGATAGCTGTTTTATGAAATGCTCCAAATTCAACTGCAAATTCCAACAGCAGAACATGTGATGACAATAATCAACCATGCAACGTGTTTAGTTGCAATCAAGTTTACTCAAAGCGGCAGATAACGCCACGATGACATCATTTCTCCTGATACCCCGATGGTAACCTTGACCCTGAATCTACAGAAAACACAATAAAAAGAAAATATAGCTGAGCGTATCTCTGCCTGACACTTCAGTTTGCTTGTTGCCACGATATCTCAAGTAGAAAGAAAGAAAGAGTAGGATGTCGTCAAATGTGGCCTTGAGTCACATTAATAAATGGAACAAAGCACAGTGGCTGCATCTCCACTGCAGATACACATCTCATCAACAGGAATAATATTGGTTGGACTTCTGGCAAACTCTCCAACAGTAAGTTTGACACCTCAGTTTATAGAGAATCACTAATTTCCATCAACACATCTGGATCTCATGGATGTGGCTCGGTGTAACTGTAACTAGATCATCTCTTCTGCTCAGGCAGGGGTCCAGCTTTTACATCTTTTTGCTTTGAGTTCTGTTGAAGCGATCTCTCTCGTTGCCGTTGCTCCAGCTGAGTTGGCAGCTCTCGTGCACCATGGGATCATCCTGGATACATTCTGTTATTTATGCAGCGTGTCTAAACCAATCACCCCGACAGATTTATGTAAACACAGCAGCTCCCTGGCATAGGACGAGGTTCACACATGCACATGGAGGAAGCTCAAGATACAGAATTTAGCCCAGCTCTCCCGCTGTGGGCGCAATGCAGAAAAATAACATGCAAAACAGGTTTGGGAAAACTGAAAAAGGTTGATATGGCAGGATAGAGAGAGGATGGGTGGGAGGTTGGCTGGGGGTTAACAGGAAAAATGTACTGTATTTAGGGTGTATATGAAAAGTCCAATTATAATTTTAGTTTTCAGAGGACATTCAAAACAATGACACCAAAGAATAATATGAGCAAAACCACACAGAGTCAATTTATATCAAACATTTTATTTGTTGTTTTTTGTTTTGTTTTATAAAATTCTTTTACAAAATTGAGATTTTGTTCCTCTATCTTTCCATGTTCAATCTCTATAAAGTTATTTCTGCAGAGGAGAATGAAAGGAAGCAGGCAGCAATTCAGCTGAGACAACACAGCCTGATAAATACTATGTGTTTGTTTGTGAGAGAATTCTACTGTGTGTGCATTACATGTATTACTACACTTGTGACAACCAGGAAGAGGCGGCTATTGTGCCCTCGCAAGTATACTAATACAAGGCAGTGCGTGTGTCAGTATGAGTCTAAAGAGACCTTGAAAGATGTTCCAAACAGAAAAGGCAGGAATGTCAGTATCACGTCCAGTGTGAAACAACACCATTTAGGGAGCTGTTACATGTCACTTGATATTCTTGAGGAAGACAAACAAAAAAGATGTACAGCTGTAATGAAACCGGGGACCTGTTTGTTGCCCAAGGCAGATGGGGGGAAAAAACAACTTATGTGTATTTCTTCTGAAGGCACATCAATATGTAACCCCCTGCCCTCTGAAACACAAGGGAAGAGAAAAGAAGAAAAGATGAAGAAAACGTCTTCTTAAATATTGCACCAGGTTCATTTCTGAAATGTGATTCTCTTTACGATAATATTCAGTCGTCTTGATAGCGCTGTAATACTGGGATTGTTTATTTGCTGTCGAGCTGCACATTCTCAGGAGCACCATGCACCACTATTCTCTGCTGATTCCTCCATCATACACTCTGTCCTTCCCTCTTCCCCTCACACACTTTCTTAAACAGAAAATACTTTATTGAATCAAATAAATATGGGAATGCATGGCGTTCCTCATATTAGATGAAAAAAATATATACAAACATAACCACAAATGATCCAATGGCACATACTGGGGGTCTGGGAAGGATTGTGGAGCTCACCAAAATGATTGTTTCAAAGCTGAGGCTGCTGAAGGAGGATTCAGAGCATGTGTGGTTAGATTTCTAGATTTCACACAGAAACGCTGCTGGTTTTACGCCTTAAAGACAAAAGAACTTTAACTTGATGATGCACAATGATTTAAAAAGACAGGTGCACATTTAGGCTTCATCAAAATACATTAACATTCTCCAGAATATCTGATATGACGAATCCAAGACAAAAAAAAAAAAACATGAGTATTAATAAAACCAAACACAATTTGTTTAATCCAAATAGCCTATTGATCCATCGGCAGAAAAACAATTCCATGTGCCACTGACACTTGACTGTCAATGAAGAGGTTTGCAGCGAATGAGATGTGAGAAGACTAACATGTAAAAAGATGTGATGAATTATTAATGTTTATGGGACATACTTCTTAACATACAAGTTTTACATTTTGGTTTCTGAATGAGGCCATGCACATTAGCACACAGTTACTGAAAGGCTTCTAATTCCATGTATTTATGTTCAGAAAACACCACAAATGATACTTACTTAATAAAGCTGATCTCCCCAAAGGTGCATTTTTCTTCTCTATACCTGTGTTAACAGTATCTCAAATGTTTGGTGAGAATTCTTCTCCATCTGCATATTTGCTTATAACAAGTGGGTAAAATGAGTAGTTTACTTAGTATGAGGCCAAGTCTTGGTCTAAAACCTCAAATGCTGTTTGATGCTCCTACATGAAAACACTTTGTGTCACTGGACATATTGAAATTGGGTCTATGAGAGAGGAACAATGATGGTATACAAACATCCCTTACAGAACAAGTCCCAATGATCCAGTCCCTGGATTTTAGAGTAGTTTTTGTTTCAAAGAATCAACTAGTAAGCTCAGCCTCCTTTAACCAAGGTAAAGCATATCATCCAATCTTTTTCAGTCAGCACATTTTCAAGGATCAAGCTTCGGCCTTTAAGAATGAAAAATAGATTTCAGAATGGCACATAATGAAAATGTAGTTTGTTCAATTGAATAAAAATGTATCACACTTCAGTAAATGAAAACATGAATGCTGACCTAAAGAATTTACTACGAGATCCATCATTTCATCATTTGTAAAGAAAATCACAAACCATGGAATCAAAAACAAAACAGAAAGCAGCAAGGTCAAGGTGCTTGTCCTGCACCATGCTCTTCTCTCAGACATACTCCAACACCATTAGATAAACTCGAGGCACTATGAATATCAGATCATTGATGGTTGGTGGGTTTTCATTCCTCCTTTTTCCTGCCCTGCTATTGGTTTTTATTAAGACAATACAGAGAGTAGTGCTGGCCATTCATTCACTGTATAAAAAAAAATAGTAAAACACAATCCAAAATAGTGTTATCCTCTTCATAGTCATTATCATCAATAATATTCATCAAAAACGTTCAGGGACCTGTGCATAGTGTACAGAGCAGAACAGACAGTCTGGTTCAGTGGGATGGAGTTTGGAGCAGTTTGCCACCGTCGGGAAGTTGTGATTTACAACTCCAAGAATTTGACCACTTTAGTAAGTCAAACACTTGAAAAGTCCTCAGGTGTCCTTCAGCTGTTGGCAGCCGTAGTGAATATCGTGGGACCTGTGAGCTCAGCTGTCCACCAACACACACAAGAGAAAAGACGGAGAGGAGAATACACAGAGGAACCATTAAAGACACAACAGAGGAGAAAAAAGGATGTGCTGTTCTCCTCTTCTGTTGGAGTTTATTTTCCTCCTCCCCCTTCTACCCAATCCCATTTGCATTTCCATTGATCGTTCCATGCAATCATGGAACTGCTTTGCATTTCTCCATGTGTCCGACCCCCTCGCTCTCTCTTTCTAGTGTCCGGTGAGCGGGGGGCTCCGGAGCGTTATAGCCTCTCAATATCCCTGTACTTCTTCCGCAGTATGGACACCTGGTCTTTGAACAGGACTGGGTCCAGCCTCATTTGAGAATGGACCAGGGGCATGGTGCCAAACCAGTTGGCAAACTTGTTCATGCAGGTCTGACGTTGGGCAAAGTGGTCCGGGTCAGCCCAGCGAGACGCCCGGGAGCTCTGGGGTAAAGAAGGGTGGGGGTTGAAGAGGAGAGGGGGGTGAGAAAACAAGAGAGGAAAAAAAAAAAGTGAATGAGAAAGATGGACACAAGGAGGAACATTGGGAGAGGGAATGAAAGAGACAAACAAATTGAATAATGCATCACCAATTATTTTGACCTTTCAGAGCCTGTTGTAATTATTCATGAGTTTTTTTTTATTGAAATGCCATATTCCAATAAACGAATTTTAATTTAAAGTTACAAATGTTTTCTTCCCCTAACGGCTAAAACTGTTTAAGTTGAAGCCTGTGTGTCTAAAGGGCATTAGCCTTTACAATAATAAGGAAAATCACAGGTTTCTGTCTGTTAAATACTGAGTCTCGATGTGAAAAACTAATTATGAAATAATGTTCTGTTTTACAGTTTAAAGGCCACCTGCCTTAAGCATGTTTAACAGAGAAGCCAGTAGAACTTATGAAAGACAAAATAATAAAGATTATATAAAATATATAATAAGTAATGGACGGCTCCTTTAGGGATCAAAGTGTACGAATCAAAATAGATTCGTTTTTTTGTGTTCGTTCCACCTTTAGGCTTAAAATTAGAATTACTCTATTCCTGTGCCAACCACTCAAACTGCAGTTTATATTCATGTCAGTCCCGGAGTCAACACTTTGAAACAAATTAACCCATTAAGATCCAGTACGAAGACATATGGAAGACATATGACTGGTGAAATACTCGCAGGAAAGGAGAAATGCATTATGGGAGATGGAGTTTGTTTGAAAGCCCTGCAAAACGTTTTTAAATTAGCATTTCACACAATGGCTAACAAACTAATATTGATATTGAAGCAGATTACAGCAGTGTTTCATTAAAATGAAGACGATTCACACTCAGATTATGTGACTGTTGAACGACTGACCAAGGTTCAGTCTGTAAGAGACACGTTTGAGGAGGAAGAAGAGACGTTTCCTGGCTTTCTTGGTTTTTTGGAAATGTTTTGAGAAACTGCAATAATTCACAATGACAAATTAACAAATGTTTCATCTATCAAATGGTTTTCATGTCATGTCTCAATCTGCTTGAGAGGCTGAGAAATTGTTTTTTTTCTAAATGTAGGCTATTCTGTCAGCTACACCCTCAGATTTTAGGTGGTTATTTCATAATGCTGAGGTTTTAAAGTGTGTTTTTATTTGGCACCTGAGGTCTTAATGGATTAAAGTATGAAGTAATTCATGTTTTGTCATAATAGTCTTATGAATGCATGAACCATTGTGTGTGAGGTCAGAGTAAAATTTGAAGAAATTCCCCCAAGGCATTCTTGAGTTACCACATTTTCAAGAGAATGGGACAGATAGACAGATGGATGGCCCACAAAATAATGTCTCTAGCCACTGATGTCAGCTGTGAGGGGGTGTAATGAATCACTTTTACAGCATAGTTTTTCTGCCTCACCTGTCCCATCATGGTCTCTTTGTACTGCTTCTTCTGAGTGACCTTGATGGGTGGTAGTTTAGAGACCGATGACACCAGAAAATTCATCAGAATGTCCTCGCAGTTTGACATCTGGTCAACCATGGTCCTCAGACTGACTGGAAGGTAAGTGGTGTACAAGTGGTGGTAGTATCTGAGGGAGAAGGTCAGAGGGAATTGTTTTAGTGTTGACACTAATCAGATTCACAGCAGCTACAATTGTATAAAGTACACCACAGAAGTAGATCAGTACTTGTGATAGATGGCAGCTCCAGTCAACACCATGGAGTAGTCATTGGTCCATTTGGAGGTGTAGCCCCATCGCTCCTTGTTGCTGTCCCAGAAGTGGCTGCGGGCTGGGTAACCTACAATGCGATCTGGGAAACTCTGCCACACTGTGAAGGCAAAGTCCACCTGGACCAGGATCAGAGAGAAACAAATCAGAGAGAGACAGAGAGAGGGAGAGAAGACATGAGGTCAAGAAATCGAGAACAGATAATTCCAGGAAACTGTGTCTCAAAGACATTTAACAGTGAATATAGGCCTTATCACAGCAGGTATGTTATATTAGGAAAGGGAACAGATTTTAATGATAACATTAACAATGGCTCTGTTCAGGTCAAGTGTTCCAGAAAAGACATGTGCTCCTGTTCATGCTCTGTAAGCGTGCAACAGCAAGTCAGCTGCAACATACCAGGACCTGAAAGACAAGTAGCTAAATGTAATTTAGCCGTCATTCATTATTTAAAACCTTTGCTTGTCTAACTTTGACGTATCAAAATATGTGCTGTAAAATGCCTGTAGAGTTACAGTGGAAACAACAATTCTTAAACGCTGTTTTGGGAGATTTACAGCCGACACTACCGCTCTCACATGTAGTAAGAGGGTATTAATGTGTTCTCTTAGTACATGAATACTAATGTAATAAATACTTAGATGTATTCGGCATTAGAAATTGAAAAAACGTTAATAATCATCTACTTACAGTAATTCATTTGACCCAGACAGGTGATCATTATAGGTGGTTTACGCTGCATTAACAAGACCTCGTGCAACACATCCTCTAGATTACACATTGCTGTAAATGTTTGCTGTAATTATCAGGCAGTCTGACCTCTGTGGTTGAGAGCACCGTGTCCTCATCCAGGCTGAGCACGGCATCAGTGGGGATGGTATCGTAGGGCAGAAAACGACTGCTGATCACCTGGGGAAAAACACAGATGCTTGTGACTGGGTATCAGTTTTACCATGCAACCATTAGTGTATAAACAGAACCCATATAAATGCCCATATAGGTGCATCTGTCTGGCAGGCAGCGCCACCAGTTTCTTCATGTCTGTTGGTGTCCCAGAGTCGTTTCATCTTGCAGCGTTGACAGCAATTTCAGCCAGTCATACAAGCTGACATTACACAAAATGACAGCAAACTGCAGCATTTAGTTGATGATCTAAAACCACAGATAGGAATCTACAAGCACAGGAGTGTGTTTAGCTCCCTGATGAGCCCTGCAGCCTGTGCTTCTTGGCATGCATCTATGCAAAACGGTGTAAAACAAGTGCATAGAAGGTGGTTTCCAATTTTAGAAATATCTGCACACTAATCTGAATGCTAGTTTCAATTAAAATACAGCATGTGTGTGGGTTTCCACCCCTGACTGCAGCAATCTTGGTAGCTAATTTGGCATTCAACCTACAAGACCTGTGTAACAAGCAACATGAACTCTTGATGAGAATGCATGTGACCAAGTCAGTGCTGTAATCCCTGCCAAGCCCCTCTAATATATACAGCACACAATCAAATCCATATTTGTCTCATGTACTGTATCTTAACTCAATACAGTCAGACAGTAAATATACAATCTTGGAGCCTGTTTACTACTGTATGACAATAAATTGGCCTCAGGGGGCAACGGCCAACAGCTGAATTTCGAATTCTGTACACGATTTACAGGGATACTCTTTGTACACGTTTAAGGTCCACATGACATTTTGGCTAATCTGTAATAACAACTATTTGCATATAAATACAGACAAATTAAAAAAACTACAGCCATGGCATTTTGGTGAAGCCTGTTTTGCTCTCCACATGGACTTTTACCTGCCCGCTCAAATGTGATTGGTCAAACTAGAAACCAGAAGGCTTCAGGCCTGACATATTCACATGTACAATCTGTAAATAGAGATAATAAATGTACTGTAGCTTTGGCTAATGGAGATATTCTCATCCTCATTGTGAAAATTCTTCTACATTAAGCTTAAGTTTTTGGGGTTTAAATCAATAACGAATGAAGTTTATCAAATTAAACGTTTCTGCAGGTAACACCAGAAATATCACAAGCCATAAAATCTCAACTCCATGTTTAAATGGACCTGCAGCTGGGACATGAAAGAATTTGATTCATGTGGTTTTGGCATTGATCCTGTAATTTGAGTCCAAGTCTCAGAATTCTGCTGTTGCCAAATTGGAAAGAAAATAAATACACTGGTTGTTCAAGCCACTTTGAGTCAGGCCAGATACAGCAGGACACACTTTTTGGTTGTCTGCCATTTCACATTTTATATCTCAAACTCAATTAAATCGCAGGCTTCCAGAACTAAATGTTAGCATTGCCCACAGTAGGAAACATCTGGAGAAGGCGTTTACCTTGGTTTCCCCCTCTATGACAATGACAGGGACTGAGGTGGCAGGCCAGCGGTACTTGGCAGGAAGAGGCTTATCACAATTCCACAAAACTATCACCTGCACAAAAGGAAAACAGACCAAACTTAGACATCATTCTGAATACAGCACGGTCACACCTATATATGTGCCCTGAAGGAAAAATATATTAAAATACGAGTTAAAAATTTGACAATCCTGTCTCAAATGTAAAGATTAAAAAAATCCACATATTTTTCAATTTAAACTCTATTTTATATTTATCCCTTCTTTGTGTGAAAGGCAACCACTTTTTCATGTTTCTCTCCAGATCTATTATAAGAACTGTCACACCACCTACAATTACCTGACAGAGAAACAGTGTATTACTGTAAATGCTATAGAATAGTCCCAAATACAGGAGAAATGACAAATAATGAGTAAAATAAAATTCAATGTAAAAATGAAAGGGAATCATTGCTCCACAAACTGAGAGCTCACTGTTAAAAGACTAACTACCATAAAACTTACAACTCCCCCCACTAATAAAGGTGTATGAATTCACGCAGAGATTACAGTCATTACATGTAATCTGGTGTTTGACAGCTGCACATTAAGTAGTTTTCTGCAAGTAGTTATTTCCCTTATTTCCTACAGAGAATATTGGGACAATATAGAATTAACATATCTGCTGGGAGTATTTATGGTGGCTGAGATGTCTCACACAAACAAATTAATGGAAAACACCAATGTAAAAGCCACAACACAACTGTACAACTTATGTTCACTCACTTATGTTGTGTTTCTGCTGTATGGCTTTTGTAGTTGAGTTGTTACTTTAGCATCAATGTTTTCGTTAATGTGCTTATGACTTCTGGGACATCTCGTCCACCATATTAGTTCCATGTAACATTGGCAAACATCAGGTGTGAGGTGGGTAATGTGGAGTGCTGCCTTTTTGATTACCTGAGCACAGTATTGGGATTTGCTCACGGCCACAAGCAGCTTCATGACTGGCTGAGACTGGGAGACCAGTGGGGTCACCACATGGATGATCGCTGTAAACTTGGGGTTTGGCTTGATACCTGGAAAAGGTTGGCACATCGAGGGTAAGAAAATACGCAATTTAAACCTGCCGATGAAGTTTTCAAACATTAGATTGCCCTTCGGAATCAAGTTGGCTAACATACTACATCACTTGCATACTGCCTGATGATAATGATAGAGAATCAGCTGCAGTTTTATGTTTTATAAACAGGAGACATCTTTTAGACAGCTTTAAGCATTTCTTCATTGGTGCTTGTTTACTTCAAGCTGCGTTTACCTGACAGAGTGCAGCTGAACAGGTTTAATCAAGCTTGTAAAAGGTGCCAGTTAACTGAATCCTAAAAGTCAACAACAAGCCACATATCTTTCCAATTAACAAAGCACAAATACATCATGGCAGGTCTAATTGGTGAGCTTCCTCGAGACAAATCCTGAATTAATAAAGATTTATTGCACGACTTGTGGCAATGTCACTGATTCACATGTTAGTTTACAAATATGCAACAGCTGCTCCACACAAGCTGTTCCTGTGCATTGTCTTACTGAAAATGAGTCCATCAAAACCTAGGGAGAGCATTGATGTGGTACTATGCATACTGCGCACCATATGCATGAAAGATTAACTGACCCAGCTTAGCATAATAGAAAGGGAAGTCTCCCAGGTGTGTAGAGTACTGCGGGAGGGTGAAGAGGCCTCCAGGCAGGCTGTTCCACATCAGGTTGCTCCTAGAGGTATGCTGCAAGACCCGGTCCTGGATGATCTGTAGAGAAACAGAAGCACATGAGATTCAAACTTGACAAACTCAAACAAATGTTTTTTGTCACTTTTTCAATTGAAAAATCTCACATTACGTTTTGCTCACAGAATAAAGGACCTCAAGTCACAGTTATTTCTATGAAAGGCAGAAGATGCACAACGACTGTGGACTGTCAGTAAGATAACAGTTGCATATCAGCTTTGTTGCAGGATCTTGGAAGATCTTTTACTATTCGCTAAACAATTAAGCCAGTGTTATGTTATTTGGAAACTGAGTGCAGACAAGTATCCCCTGGCACTTCTCAAATTAACAACCGAAAAAATGAGTCCCTTTAGATACAAAATGATCCCACAGACGTTTCCATTACAGTGTCATATGATCTCATAAAAAACAAATTCCTATCCTATATTCAGTTTTCTATGTACTGTTTTCTTGCTTTAAATGCTTTATTTTTCAACACTAAAGTAAAAAATAACTCAAAATATAACTTCACAGTAAGATCAGATCACTCAGTTCTGCTCAATAAATTGTGTTGGCACCAGCTTTTCCATTATTCTAAATCAAATTTACAGGTCAACTGTTCAGCCCAGTGTCTTATACAGTCTGACAGCAGGCTTTACAGGCCCACAGCATCAACTGTGTCCCAATCCACCAAAGCTCTAAGATTGTTTAACAGTGAGATGAAACCATAATAAAATATTAAGCAGTCTCAGGAGCTGCAAAGTAAACCCTGTCTGCTTTCTGAAGGAAACTGTTCTGATAAAGTGAAGCTTGAGCTGTAACTGAACCTGGGTCCCATTCAAATATTGAGGATCCCTTGCTAATGGTAGCTAACTATTGGAGAATATTTGAAGCCAAAACACTGATGTGCTGTACCATGGTATGTCTTGGAACAAACAGGGTTAAGACATTAAAAGAGTGTAAACAGATCGAAGACCAGCTTCTTGGGGCTGTAACTTTACCCTGCTGACAGAGAAATCCCAGCTCTGCCCTCTAGCAGTCTGGCCTGCTACCTCATGGGATGAAGCCTTTGTAACACTATCCGTGGACAACAACTTACTAACTGTAAACTGCAGTCAGCCAAAAAGGCTTACGGTAAATGTAACAACTGGAAATCAGCAGTAATTTTCCAGTGTACTGCATCAAATAATACAATAAAAGGAAAAAGCTGATACATTTATTTTGCCAGTTTGGTAGTTTACTTGAGATGGTTTGCACATACATCACTGTAGAAATTTAGAGAAAATTCTGGTAGAAGCAGGTCAATTTGCAGACACAAATGCTACTACATGTTGTGAGCATGATTTGCATGATACTTGCAGCTAGCCGACCTAGCACACCCCAGTCAGACTCTCTGTCCTGCTCCCATTTCACCCCCCCCCCTGCACTGATCTTTGCTTGTTTGTAATTCCAGCTCAAGAGCAGTATGATAGACTGGTGCTCAGTGGGAGGAATACAGATAAATGGACTCTGACAGGAACAAATTACTGACATGATTGATGGCCAAGCCAGCCTCAAAAAACATGACAGCAGTGTTTAACAATACACATCATCCCTCTTGGTTTTGTGGCTTGTCTGGAGCAGTTCCATTGTGGGTATGAAGTCTGCAACAACACTTAAGGTCTGTAAATGTAAGATGCCAGTAAATGTCCTTAAAAAAAGGCAATCTTTATATTAAGCATGTTATGCATCGTTTAAAGCATTGTACAATATGTGTGTACCTCCAGTGTGGTCAGTACTATCTTCTCCACAGAGTTGAAGTAAGCCTCCCATAGGAACTGGGTCTGCTGTCTCAGGGACAGGATCTTATCCTGGTGGATGGAGCGCACTGTTGAGGGGATCTGGGACAGAGGTGAGCGCATGTTAATATACGAGAACACAAACAGAAAACTGAATGCTAAAGTAGACACTGTCATTTTATCCACAAAGAATGTTGTCAGGGGAGCAACTGCAAGATTTGCCTCAATGAATGAGTAAGTCTAAGCTGTCAAATGGGAAGGCACACATAAAACATGCCATTAAATACAAGAGTGACACATCTAAAGTATAATTACACTGTACAAGCTGAACACCTGCACACTACTGCTGTGTTACAAACCATTTATACGACCAATAAAACAATGACTATCTTTGCATGGCCACCATCATTCCGTCTATTGACCTGACATTCTTTCACTCATGGTGTTAACATGAGTCACTATTAGAATAGTCCATTCATATTCCTGGTACAGTCAGAGCACAGTCTGATTATGACTCACATCATCATTACGTCCACTATGTCATACGTCAGATGTTCCCAGGAAATTTTTGACAATATTTCCACTGCAAAGTTTGTGTCTATTCAAGTATTTCATAATATCCATTTCCCCTAAAAAACTTAGCATTACTACAGTTCCCCCATCATCCCTGATATGTTATTTCTTCATAGCGCCAGACATCCTGTGCATAGGACATGCATCATCAAGCAGTTGGTAACTTCCTCATGTCAATGTTGCAAAAGGCAGTAAAAACTATGATAGGAAAATATATTTCTATATTTACTACATAATGTATCTACGATTGGAATACTCCACATGTCTAAATTTAATTAATACTTATTTCAAGTATGACCTGATTCAGGTTAAGGTAATCATTATTTAAATGTCAGTGACAGGTTAATATCAGACTATTGGTGTCCATGTAAACAAAGTCATTCTGTGCTCCAAACTACCAATGTAATAAAGGTGTACAGATTTATTTTTCGTCTTGGAAGAGTTTAACAACTTCAGTTGTGTATGAAGGATGCCGTGTCTACCTGTAATAGCAGCCTTTCATCCCCCATCACAGCTGCTGTATTCCAGTCGATGATCTCGGAAAAGGGAAGTTCCCAGCCGTTACTCAGCATCACAGGCACACACGCTGCCTGTAAGAGTAACACACAACACCGCACACAATATACACTCTTGGTTAATGAGATGAACTGTTGAAGACTGTTGTTACTGATTGTGGAACCTGTAACTATCATGAAATCCACAGTTTGGAAATAATGCAAAACTAGAGCAACAAGAAATAATGTATGAATAATTAAAGGTATTAAATCTGTGGTGTCGAAATGATGTATAAGAGCCAAGTCAGTGTCCCCTGCATCCCCTGTCACATTAAAATATTCTAATTCAAAAGGTTTTGCTCCCATCTGTGGTATAATCTCTATTTCTACAAGTAATAAAGGTAAAATGAGCAGAGGAGAAAAATGAAAAACAAATAGTTTATGCTTTGCCAACCCTGCCATCACTGTACAAGGTCCATTTCTCAAGCAATCAAATCAGGCAATTTAACCAAGAGGAGCAACATCTTCCCACACATTTCCATTAACTACAGAACCATCGCAGCACCCTGATGACTACTCTCAAAGCGACGAGGCACTATGCTTTCATAGAATGACCATAATGAAGTAGAAAAGGAGATAAAAGTACTTATTCCTGAGTAATTCCTGAGAGATTAATGCATTTGTACGTGTGCATCCACATTTGTGTGTGTGTGTGTCCTTGTGTATCCATTTATTCATTTGTGTGTCGGGCTGTAACTTTAGGTGTGTGTGTGTTTAAGAGTTGGTTAGTATGTGCAGCTTCCTGCCAGCAGCAAGGAGCCTCATAATCTGCTAAGCCAGTACCACTGATTGGCCTTAGCTGCAACACATGCAAATGCACGTCCAGGCACTGCTGCAGCACACGTATAATCTCCTTGGTGTCACTAGCAAATCTGCTGGACCTATTACCACACGACGTAAACATAATCACAATGGAAAAGAGGGACAACAGATGTTGACAATGAAGCAAGCATTGTTACTCACTGCAACACATGGATGTTTAGGTGAGTAGTCGCAAACCTGGACAAGTCAGGGGCCCCTTAAATTTGAATGCTTGCTCATTTGAGGTGTTACAGTCAAGGGACTTCAAGCACCCAATAAGGATTAAGTCAAAATGTTTGCGGTCCAACTTTTTAGGGGCTCCTTGTGTTGTTGTGTTGTGGCTTTTGGATTTGTGTTTTCAAATAATGTGTTGTGTGAAACGTCTTGGCCTCTGTATCAACGAGCCGGTAAACGAAAAAAACTCTCTCACCTCACTGTTGCACGTTGTTTGCAAGATGTAAAAAACAATAAGCACACAAATGTTCATAGCTATTTACAAGCCAACACCTGAAAGTTCAATGCGCGTCACAACACCAGAAAATGTGCAGCGTCAGCATCTAGACTGCAAAAATAAACAAGAAGAAGAAAGTGACACGTGTTTTCATTACTGCCTATCGGAGCCAGTTAAAAAAAAAACTGCAGAGTCATTTCAACCCAGGGGTTGAATGCTGATCGTATCCATAGCAGACATGGGTGTTAGTGGATTTTTTGACCAGTGGATAAGAGCCTTTGTTGAACCCCTTCCCAAAAGCCTAGCTCGCACTTAAACCCTATGACCGTCTCCACTGTGTCCTACCTGGCCTATTGGAATACTTCGCTGAGCCAGTGTAACTAATACAGCTCAGTAGCCTTCAACTTCCCCAAATTCCCCAATTTGTGCCTGGCCTCTTCAACTTTTGCGCTCCCCAGTGTAAGGCTGTGTTTGGATAGAGGCACTAATACCTCCAGGCTGTGGTCCAGCCCTGCACTCCGGCCAACCTCTGCATGCTACTACCAAGTGAAGCTGCACCGCTTTCTCCCCCAGCGTCGACCTGGTAATCAGTCTCACTGTCTCACCATGTGTCGCCTCTTTCTCCTTTGTGGTGTAATTATCTTCCCATTACACCCAATATAGAACCACTGCTCATTTTCTATTATAAGCTCAAAAGTGATCACTCTTACTCTTATTCGAACCAAATTCTCTGCTGTTTGTCCAACAACTGGTGATTGCAGGACTTGACACAAAAAACCTCACACAGTACACCAGAACGATAACTTGGGTTGCTTTTGATTTTTTTGTGGACTTAATACTTATTTTTATTCTCATGAAATATGTTTCCATGGTTTCACTGTACAGTGTGTTGTAGGTCACTGGTTGAGAAAAAAACTGCTTAATATCTAAAATTCAAATCACTCTACCATATGTATTAAATTATATGCATATCTTACCTACTGCTACCCTAAGTGTGTGAAGGTAAAAGCATTCAAAATGCCTCAGGCAAAACTGGTTATTAAAATAAATGTAGCTATTCTTTAAATATATCTGTGGTCTTGGCTAAGATCACTAAAACGAGTAGGCTGATGTGCTGAGTACTGCAGGGAATTAGGGACACTTGACGAAGACTAGATGGTGAAATAAAGAAAGTGAATAAAATGTTACATGTGCAGCCAAGCATGTACTGTACACTGAAGTTATAATTCAATCAGTATGATCAGGTGAGGAGGAGAGGAAAGGAGAGGAAGAAGAAGTGGGTGAAGAAGAACAGAAGATGGCAAAGGCAGCAATGAGGACACGGAGCAAGAGGCAGCTGAAGTAACATGAGCTGCGCAACCACAGAATGACTGGCAGTGGGTGAAGGAGTGAGTGGGTGTAAAGTCAGTACGTCACTTTTTCCACTCAAAACCACTGATTAACAGCTTTACTGTTGTGTTTCTTCTGGAGGAATCAAACTCTATATAAATAATGTTGCTGGAACACTGCATGCATCTTGTGAAACACCAGAGTACACCTACGCTACGTGATTCACATTTAATCACCACTCTGTCTGGCAATAATGAGCAACATCTGTATTTGTGTCACTGACCTGCAAAGCCTCTAAGAAGCGAAAGGAGCCCAGCCGTCGTCCTCGAGGTACCAAGCAGAACGTGGAGTTGTACAGCATCTCTCTGTAGTCGTACCTGCAGGAAGATGGCAAAGAGGAGAAAACATCAGGAACTAATTCATTCAACAAATTAAACAACACAATCTGAACGCTTGGATGCAGGATACTGACAAAATCACAGAAAAACTGAGCGCACGACAGCAAAATGACACACATTCCTTCGGAAGTTTTTTCTTTACAAAGTCAAACATCTCGTAATAAAATATTGACTCTTGGAATGCAGCTCATATCGGGGCCACTCTTTCCTGAAAACATCTCAGAAAACGCACCTCTTTCAAACAATGAAATATTTCAAAAGCACAAATACTTTCAGGAACAGAATCCCATACTTTCATTTTAACTCCTCTCTCTCATTTTTAAACCCATCGCCCTTTCGCCTGCACATCTCGACATCTCTCGCTTCTTCCTTGCTCCCTCCATCCAATCTAAGCCTCTGTCAGCACTTGCTTGGATTAAGGAGCTGCTTGGAATTCCTTCAGTGTCAATATTTTATGTGCAAAGGAGCGCGTGTGCGCCAGAGAGTGTCCGTTTGTGTGTTGCCTGTTCATACAATAGAATGGGTTTTATGAGACAGGACAGTGTGTGTGTGTGTGTGTGTGTGTGCATATTTCATTTCTCAGTCTATCCTGGGTAAAAAAGCAATCCTGCACACTTAGCTTCCAAATTTGTGTGTTTAAGACAACGTATCGTCACATTTGCATGAGAATGCAAATATGGATGTTAAGGTGAGTGATAATTTGTGTACTCAGGGTGATGTGCGTGCCTGTAACTATTTTCCTGCCCTCTCCTTTATCGTATATGTGTGTGTACAGATTTACTATGCCTGAGGCTGCACTGTCTCTCTCTCAGAGTCAGTAAATCCCTCCATGACTGAAGACCCGATGCCTCAACAGATCCACCCACACCTCTGTGGGTCACTGCACAGCCAAGATACAAGTCAAATTTATGCCATGTACAGCAATAGGAGTGCAGCAGAACAGAAATGCTCTCTTTCTCCCTTCTGAACTATAATTTACTTTATGTAACAAACATCTAAAAATGGAACTAAGCAAAAAAGACATGTCTTTTTTAATATTGACGTTATTCTTATGTCTGAAAGAGATTCAGCTAAACCTCACTTAAAAGCTGCTGCAGACACACAACTAAATTAGCCAATTAAATTCACATTACAGAGGAATTTACATAAAACAACAACTATGTTTCTTCATACACAATAGACATGGTTGACAAAGTTGAATTTTTATATTCAACAGCTGCTGAGGAGCACAAATGAACTACAGAGCTGCCATCTTTAGAGCCCGACTGAAAAGGATTTTTGGAAGCAGATGCTGATTTTTGGGGGGAAAAAAAATCGGCCAATATATTAAAAACAATGGAAATGGTTCCCAAGAGGTCGTTATCAAACCCTTGT